CACATCCTGACATTTACTAGTCATAACCAAGTAGTTGCTAACAATATCAATAATGAATAGGTGTGTATGTCATGGTGGTTATAGAGCTTTTTAATCGATGTCAGGAAATTTGGTAAAGCTTAAAGAGTACACATAATAACATGCTGGAATTCATAAATAATCATTTCTGATGTGAATGTCTCATTTTATTTCTTTTTTTCAATGAAAACTTCTTACCTACCAAAGAAATAATATTTTAGTACACTTATAAATTATTTAAAGACTAATTAAATTAAAACAAGAGAAATATCAATGTGTTTTGAAGAAATTGAAACAAAATTAAGAAAAATCATTAAACATCAAGAAATTTCCATAAACACTTTTAATAAGTATTGTTTAAATCGAAAGACAAATACCTGAAGTGAAACACATAATGAAAACTTAAGCTTCAAGTACAATTTATTAAAAGTAGTAGAGTGACAAAAGTACTGTAGGTTGATAGTTTATATCATTTACTTCCATATCACATAAACAATCACTCCCATTTATAACCTACTAATTTGGAAAGTTTGTTTTTTATGGAAATTCATTGGCTAGCACCTGTGCCATCTTTCCCTAATTTTGAACTAGAGAGAAGGCAGCTAGTTAACAGCACGCATCCCAAACTCCTCGTCTACTCTAATTGAATAACGAGATATTTGACCATCATTCCTATAATGCACACGTCATCTCATAGTATGGAGTATTTTTGTGTCAATAGGATACAAACCTAGGACCTTCTAGTTTACAGTTTAGTTCATTAACCAATAAGCCATGTCAGATTATGAAAGACGGGATCATAAAAATTACTATTGAAGCTATATGAATACTTAATGAATAATTTATTTATTTTTTATCTTCATTTTAGATGAAAATTTGTAATAAACTTATGTAATAAAGAAAAGTACTTTTTCTTCCTAAATGCACTCATACATGAAGGTTATTTATAAAAATGTTTTAACTTTAGAAAGAGCATGAGCTAGATAGTATTTATTGATAAACAGGTGTAAATGTTACAAAGTTAGATTAACTGATAAGTAAGTGGTAATGTAACATAGTAAAGTCACATTATTAGTAATTGATGAAACATAAAGAGTTATGCCAGAATTGGAATATTAATTTGGATTTGATACAAACTATAGCAGAGCACACTTACATGCTCATTGAGATTTTGACCAATACTAAAGTATAATATGCTTAATGTACGTTTAATGTGAATGGTTTATTTTGTTCCTCTTGAAGAATTTATGACAGAGATATATTTGGTTTATCTAACTTTGAAGATCCCTAAGATAACATTTTTTTAATATGTTATCTTAGAATTCTATCTTCAAAAATTATAAAAATTAGCCAATAATAATAACTATATTGAGTGTATAATTTTAATACTAATTTTCTACTTTGTGCTGAAGTTGTACTTTTTCGGTAATTTCATTAATTCAATTATCTTTGCTATTCTGATACATCAAGTATGAAACAACATTAGATGTACTAGCAAATAGACAAATTAGTACTTAATGTGTGAACTTACCTGTAATTACTACCACTAAACTGAAGTATATGATTTTGAAGTTCTGGTTTAAAATATTGTTAATCATAAATTACTAAATGTACATGTGATTATTGTAGTATTTAAAATAATAATTTATAGCTCAATTTTAACTCAAATTATTTTTTAACAGAAATGTGAGCCATGGCTTAAATTTTATAAACACTGAAATCTGCTTTTTCAGATTATATATACATATATATATATATATATATGTTTATATGTTAATATATTATTTAGTAATTGTGTTCATGAAAACATACTAAAAGCTTACATATTGATGCAGCCACCATAGAATTAGAATAAAGAATGAGAATTGAAATAAATATTCTGCTCTAACATTGCTGAGAAATTTTGTGCAAAATATTGACATATTGAGGTGAATGTAAAAAACAAAAACTATTTAAGTGGGATACAAATTTGGTAAATATA